TACCAACATTGTCTTAAAAAAAACATGAGAGTAAAAATATTGGCCCATCTCCCCCGGACGGGCCGGCCGGGGGAGATGGGACCTGAAAAAGAAAAGAAACATTGAAATGGAAAATCACATAGATCCAATGAATAATGAAAATGCCTTGCAGCTATTGCTGCGGCTTTTATGCAACATTCAATCAATATGCCCTGAAATGCCATGCTCTGTATGCGCCGAATGTTCAATAAGCCGAAATGGGACCATGGTTTTTGCACAGAAAAAAATGAAACCATCTAATATGGAAACTGTAGTAGGACACCGACGCCTAATTCCCCAATACCACTGGTGATCCCTGCCAACCAATGCGATGCGCCGCGCCAACCGAAACACAGCAGTTAAACTAGTATGATAACCAAGGTCGTAGCATGGCGTAATAATATTGAAGGCTGAAATGTTAGAATCTTTGTAAAGCATGCGCCGACTTGGTCTGGCGCAATGACACTGACAAGGCGAATTATCGCCAATATGTGACAACCGATAGTGTCTCAGGGCGGAGACACCGTTTGTGTTTTCCATCTATACACAGAGAACCATCCTATTAGCCTGATGTTTCTTTTCTTTCCTTTTCTTTGTCATTTTGTTGATTTGCCGTTTTGTTTGGGGTTTTTTTTTTTTTATTTTCCTTTTTATTTTCCTTTTTGGATTCTTTTTTTTTTTTTCTTTTTTCTTTTTCCTTTTTCCATTTGTTTGTTGAGAACAGTAGGGCTATTCCCGACAGAATGTCGCCGTGACTGGTAACGTAATAGGCTCCGATTCAATGATGGGTTTTGACTGTGATGATGCTTGAAATTATTTGATTAATGGAACGGCGATGGACTAAGTGCTGCCTGGCTGGGGCGGCTCGGGCTGCGCATTCAGCACCGCAATGCGTTGTTCAATTAGATTCTGTAGAGCACGAAGAGAGGCGATCTCCGTGTTGGCCGAGGGAAGATCGGGCGGAGCGTTTGCCTTGAGCTGATCTATAAGCAAACCGATCTTTCCATCTTCAGGCCCTTGCCTAGTAGGTCCGTTGCCCTGTGCGAGTGAGATGAGGTTTGCGGCCGCTTCCCGTTCAGCGATAGTGCGTGAGTTCAAGATCGCAGCAGTTGTGTCCTCTTCCAGAAAAACAGGCTTCTGGGACGAGTAGAAGGCATGGGCCTTGGCCAGCAGCTTGTCGAACTCTGCGGTGGCATAGTCGAAATATCTGTCCGCAGTTTCCTTCATCATCTTGTACTCCTCATTTTCCCTTCTCCACAAGTCAGACAAGTCAGACATATAACCAACTATAACGCCTAGGAATCAACTCACCTCTTAACTCGATGAATGAAGTCCAATTTTAGACCGCGCTCTGACACACGGTACATGATACCTTCCTCCTCCTGTTCCTCCATTCTCTCGACCTCTTCCTCATCTGGAAGGACTTCAACGTCGATCATGCGGGGTCGCTTCGGACGACGAATGCGCTTTAACATATCGTATCCCTCCTCATCTTTAACCCAGTATTTTAAATCATGCCAGACGTGGTTGGGACACATCCAACTGTGGTGCCTACGATCACTGCCGCCTTTCTGGATGGGAGGTAGGGGCAGAGGCGGGTCACAACAATCCATGTGGAAAGCACAAGGACAATAGTCGCACTGAATTATGGGCTGACGGCCGTTACTCGTGCGACCGCAAGCTGCGCAGAGAATCACATTGCCTTTGGCATCCTGTGTTCGTAGTAGGTAAGGGTCATCATAACGGCCATGGCGGTTCCCTCGGCGGGGGTAGAGCTTGGGAAGTGGCACGACCTCATCATATTTGTCCTCATCTCCCGTAGCCACACCGGTGAAGTAATCGCGAACACCAAGGGGTAGGAGGAAGTCTTTCTGTGGAGCGTTGTCTAGAGCACCCAGTAAGGACGTCATAGGCTTTGACAACGAGCATTTCGGGCAAAACCAATCTCCCTCTGGGGGGTTTGCCGGGTCCAAGGGCGGGTTAAGGCAGGAGAAATGGAAAGAATTCGGGCAGCCATCGCAACACAGCAGCTGGCCGCTTCCGTTACAATTGTGACAAAAGTCGTTGTTTTCCTGGCGTTCGTTGTCGCTTCTGCCAGCATGTTAGCGTTCAGAGGAACAAGTGGTAGATAGACAAGGGGGACTTACGTCAGGGTAGGTGTCAGTCGTCGATTGTCACCGGCATCACTACTAGCTGGACTCTCAGAGCGCTGTCTGCTACTCATGCCAGCTCCCAGTGATGCTGGCTGAGATCGACTGGCTGCAGTGGGGACAGGAGATGGCACATTAGACTGCTGTGGGTCAGAAGTCAATGAGGAACGCATGTGACTTTCCAATGCGACAATGGTCGGGAGAGGCTTCTGCAGGCGAGTACGTTTGATTCGTGCCCCTTCCTCGGGGTTCGATTCATCTTCCAGTGCATGCTTCTGTGGGAGAGCCGTAGCAGCACTAGACGGGGCGGCTGACTCCTTCTCCTTTGCCGAAGGTGCACCCCTTTTAGCCGGTTTACCCCTGGCGCGAGCACGGGAAGTTGCCGCTCCAGGAGCCATGCCCGGGGCAAAAGTCTCAGCATCAAGGGAAACCGCTGAAGAGAGAGATGAAATGCTGCTGGCCGACCGGGGGCGAGCCAAGACCGGTGCCGTGGCAAACTCCTCGTCGGCTTCCGCCTGAACCTCCTTCCATGCAGCGCGCATAACACTCTGGAAAGCCGAACGTTCCCGCGGGCCGGGATTTTCCTGGCAAATGCCGTCAAGAATAGAAAGCGCAAAGGGATCTTTGTTGCACGTCTCCCACAATCTGATGAGGCCGCGTGAAACAGGGCGATTGTTGGTCTCAAGCGCCAGTCGAAGAGCCTTTTCGACCGCAATTTTAATCCGATCAACGTCTACTTCTGTCGATGTAGGCACAGGCAGTGAAGTGAAAGCAGACATGTCCGGTGAGACCTTAGACTTCGTAGGTAGAGGTTCGTCCATCGGCTCCTCAGCGGGCGTTAAGGGGGTCTGAGGCTTGTTGTCAGCTCCCTCGCCGTTCGGTGTGGCCTGTGACTCCTTTTTCGCAGAGATATTCTGAACACTGGGTTTGATGGGTGCCAGTCCAGCCTTGCGCAAGTCGGCAGTTGATGGCATGGTTCCCAGTGGGCGCATACTGGACAATACGGGGTTCGCGTGATGAGACACATTACACCATGGCGTGTCTGCGAAGCTCGGTTCTGGTTCTCTCAATGGTGGTTCAACCCATCCGCTACTGCTTTCAAAGATGTTTGAATCGCTCAGAGTATCCGACACCTCATTCTTAGATTGTTCCAAACGCGACTGGGTACGAGAGGGCGGATCCTGGAGAGGATCGGTGGCCACACGACTGTTCCAGCCAGTGCGGCGTTGCTTGCGAGGCCTTGTAGAATCGGTGAGCGAGGAAGCAGTGCTTGCGGTAGTTGGCGCGCCAAGTGGAGTGGAGGGGCGAGAGTTATTCGACCAGGCGTGCGACGACGAACGGAGATTCGGAGCCATTGTTGTAGACAGGGCTCGCAGGTTGCAGCGGCTACAAAGCCAGGGTTAGCCTGCGGAAACAAAAAGCTGAGACACATTAATTGAAATAACAATTACTTACTTGTAGGTAGATTCCAAGCAAACACCGAGCGTGCCCAGCGTGGCTGGTTGGAATCGAGGCCAGCCCGCGCGCTGTCTGCGGGTTGATGGAAGGAAGAAAGGTTGCGGAGTTGGAGTGCCGGAAGTTTTCGAGTCCCAATCAGGCCTCCCTCTAGGGGGTTCGCCGCGGACCTCTGTCAACCACGAAATTACCAGACACCCTCGATCTGGATTCCATGTACATTAGATTTTTGAAACCGGATTTCGTGTTGTATAGAATACAAGACTAATTGTCTTCATTTCCTGGAGTGGGGTGCTTACTAGAGTGACCCTAGGAGACGCGTCAAGGGGCCGTGAGATAGAAGTGTAATAAGAGCCAACACAACTCTCTAAATCCTGCTTAAGTGCCTTATATGACAGAAGCTGCAATAGGATAGATGATGTGTAGAAAAGGCAATGTAAAACGCTAAGTTACTTCAGAAAGATTTCAGGTCCTGTGATTGGGTCAGCCGTTCAACATCCTGAAGCTTTCCAAGTCCAAGTCTGATGCCCAACGCACACGGACAATATGACAGCGTCCTGATGATGGAATGGGGTTCGTCCAGTGCTTAGGACACATACAAAAGCAAAAGGCATAGAAAGATAAAAGCACGAGCACCGCCTGGTCCGTAGAAACAAGCGAAGCGTAGGGAAAGGGGATTGCACGCGTAGAACACAGCTCCAGTATTGAAAACAAACTTACCAAGTACGACAGATGTTATCGAAACTCTTGAAGCAGTATCTTCTGCTGTAGCCGATACAAAGGTGACGTACTCGAAGGAAGGAGGCACGATGTATGTGCCGATGTAGATGCAAAGAAGAGGATTGCTGGATTCAACGACAAAGAACAATTTGATGAAGCGTTCGAACCCACAAGCAACGCGAACCTTCTCTAAAAGGCAGACAAACGAAGAAGGTTATGGGTAAGCGGAAGAAGATGGAGGTTAATGATCAGGGAGGACGAAGTAGAAAGTTTGAAGAGAAACAAGGAAGCAGAAGGGCAGGGTCCGGAAACTCAGAAGAAAGGTCAAGTTCGCAAACGAGGATTCTGCAATGTGTTATACACAACGCGTGTGCTTTCTATGCAGAAGGCTCGTGGCTGACTTCTCTGGAAAGATTCCGATATCAGACTGATGAGGAGGAGGGGTTGACGATGCGGAAGAGCAAGGAAATGTGATTCTTGAACGTGTTGTTCAGATAGTATCTTGAGATACAGGTTGTACAAGAATGTTCAAGAATGAGAAGGGAAGAGAAATCGGAAGAGGGGAAGCGAGTAGTTAAGAAGGCTGTTGTGGCTGGGGTGTTTGGGGAAAGTGAAGCAAAGTGAGTGAATGATACTCCGATGTCACTGAGAGCGAATTTGCAGCCGCGGGGAAAGAAGGGCACGACGCTGCTGCAAGTACTCCAGAGGAGTAGACAGCAGATGTTTCTCCTGTAATCAGGATAACAAGCCGTCCAGAGATGATGGAAGTCGGCAGAAGAGCTTTGGGTAGGAAGTGGAAAGGGGAAAGGCACAGGGAAGGGAGAAGATGGAAGAGGAAGGATTGGGGAAGTCAGAGACGGAGGTCAGTTGGCCCACTCGACCAACCTCCATGCCCTCTCAACACCAGACAACCCAACACACCCCTAGGCAGCTCTCAGTGAATGAGCTGGGACGGGCTGAACACAATATGTTCACCTATAGCCATATTCTAGGATAGACAGCCGGTCCTCCTTCACTCCGTGCATCCCGGCCCAAGCCATCATACTGGCTGGATTCACTGCCGGTACATGGCCATATGCTGAACCCTACTGTTGAACAATACGAATAGTCTATTACTTACAAGGTAAACTTCCATGGCCAGGCTTCAAGCTACTAACAAAGGGAACTACCGAAGGTGCTTTTTCTCTCAAGCCTTTGTCGAGGGTGGGGTGGCGGCAACGGCTGGGCAAGCAACCTGCCTCTCCAACATGGCAGTCACCCGAGAGATACCACACCCGATTAAAGCATCGGAACAGATGATCTGATGTTTGATGGACCGGAGAGCTCATCGGGGGCGAAATGTCCTCTTCTCCTAGAGTCCCATGGGGAAGGGGGCAGGTTACGCTGACCTCATCGTTAGAGACAAATGAAGTCCGAGCGGATCATCGGGAATAATATGATTGCCTGCAAATCACGGAGAATAGAAAGAGAACATTCCAGGAACACCTGCCTTCATGTATGAATGTGGCAAAGGTAGAAGCGTGATAGGCGAAATAGGAGGTAAAGCTTTGGACCGGCGGACACAGGTTGGATAGATCTAGGAGTGTTGATGGAAAGCAAGGAAGATGTTCTGCCTCATTTTTTTTTTTTTTTGCGTCTGTTTATTCGAGCATTTACATATCGCGTCTTCTGAACTTCTGAACTAGTTATGTGACAACAAGTTTTATAATAGGGTATTATGGAAGACCTAGGTCTCCCACATGGCTCATCTTTCGCACGGATTTCCCCCATCCCTCATCATCTGCAGAACTCCCTGGTTGCAGCTCCAAAAAGGATCGTTGTAATGGCGTGCATCGCCAATGCTTCGGTATGACGAAGAATGTTTCCTGCAAAGAAATCATAGGCTTTCATTTGAGCCAAACCAACACGCCCACGGATACGGCAGATGTGACGCCCCAAGTCAGACGATGATTTACTCGTCAGCCTTCTTGGCAGCGGTCTTCTTCTTGTTGTTCTTGTTCTTCTTGGAGCCGGTGGACTTGGCCAACGGACGCTCAAGGATCTTAAGGATCTCCTCGTCCTCGATCTTCTTGTCCGTCTGGAACTTGGAGAGATCGGGAGTGGTGGGAGCAGCAAGACGGGTGATGCCGTTCTTGGTGATAGCTAAAGCCTTGTTAGAAGACACATCCTCTGCGATAGTCGTAAACTAATGGAAATGGCAAAACATACCAAGAGTGGTCAAGACGCGGGAGACCGGAGCATTGTCGGCATCTCCGGCGGGCTCGTACTGTCTCAGGACACCACCACGGACACACTCGACAACACCAACCTTGGCAGACTTCTCATCATCCAGCTGGCGCAAGCTGAAGGGGAACTGGCCAAACTTCTTGACGACCTCGGAGAGAGTCTGTCTGGAGCTAGGGCGCTTGAGGCCGTAGGTGGTGGTGGTACGGCGGTGGAGAGTGGCACGGTGAGGGAGGGTCTTAACCTTTCCGGATCCGAGAGACAGACCAAGTTCAACACCCCAGACTTCACCGACCTCGGGGACACCCTCGCCCTTGACACCAGCGCCGGGAGAGAGAATAATCTTCTTCTCGCCCTCGATCTCGTTGCGGTCAAACAGCCAGCTGGTGGTGTTCTCGACAACGTTGCAGTCGTAGGCCTTGGCAACCTTCTCGATCAACTGAGTAATCTGAGCCTGGGTAGGAGGCTTCTGGGCAGCAGCCTTCTGCTTCTCCTCATCAGTTCCGCTGGCGAGGAGGCCGGGGGGGACCATAAGTCTCAGGAGAAGCTCGTTGGCGTAGTGAGTGGCGTGGATAAGGTCAGCCTCGCGGCCGGTCACCACATCGGCGGACGAGTTGCTGTCGGCGACAATAACCATGTCGCAAACGATGGTACCGAAGCCATCGATCTGGGCACCAAGCTGGATCTTGGCGACCTCACCGGCCTTCAAGGTGGTCTCGGCCTCCTGAGCGTCGGACACCAGGGGAGTGTAGGGAGTCACATAGGAGCTGGGAGAGACAGTGGTGGGGTGAGCGATACCTTTCCCCGGCGCATCACGTTAACTCGCTGATCTGACAATGATTTCTCCGGGCTAACAGAGGAGGCAACATACCCTTCTGGATCTTCTTGCCCTTGTAGACCTTGGCAATCTCTTCCTCGAGGAGCTGGTCACCCTTCTGGCAAAGCTCGACGATCTTGCTGCCCTCAACACACCATCCTAGTATAACGAGATTAGAATTTCGTAGCCCTAGACCAGGCGCAGACGCCCGGATGGAGGAATCACACACCTGCAACGGCTTCGAGAACCTTCTGGGAGATCTGAGCGGCGGTCTTGTACTTGGTCAAGGTGTCGGGGTTGTTGAGGGTGTAGTCTAGAAATGGACCAAGGCCAGGTCAGTTAGGGTGGAGAGCGAACAGGCATGCTTAAGCCGTAGATTGTACGATCATGATAGAAAGAAGATATTGACAGGCATTTCGGGAACTGGATAACAGAAGACGAAGAGAGGTTGCGATTGTCCCGTAAAGCTCATCCGCTGCTCAAAGTCGTCGCCAAACCTAAGCCGAACCATGACGACGAAAGCAAGCGGGAACCCACAAACGCCGGAGCTTTTTTCAAATTGGAGGGACCAAGAGGGGTAGCTGGACATGGCATGAGCACTTACCAACCTCGGGGGCCTGAGTCTCAGCCATTGTGTATCGATAGGGGGATCCTCGCGCTGCTGCGAGGAAGAATTACAGATGAAGGTATCTGGGGGAGCAGTAGTTCTAGCACAACAGTAGAGAAAAGAGGAAAATGGACTCTGCTGGAGAGCTGGAGAACCTTAGTAGCAGGATGGAGTCGTGTGCACCGCACCGTATTTACCATCATTACGCCTTGAGCGGGGGCTTCGGCCTGGTTTTTCGCTGCGTTGGCGGTGGGGTTCTCTTCCTTTTCCGAGTAGGGCTCGGTATCTTGCTGTTCTGCTATTACCCTCCGCTTTTGTGCAGCTGACCGCCTACCATCTTCTACCCTTTAGTAACAAAGCCTAGTGGTTTGTTCGTTGCCTGCTTGACTGGCCGGCCCTTTCAGTTGACGCCCAACCCGCTTTTTAGCATCCTTTTCGCGTTGTATCGTATGAGTACTCTTCTGTCTTTTGGCAATTGATTGGAGTGACAAACGCTCTGTTCCATTAAGGCCCCTTCCATTCTTTTCGAGCTCCAGAAGATTTAAAAACCACGTTATCGCGTGATAGGCGTACAACTTCTCTTGATCGTTCCCACAATAATGCTCATGTCATACCAAGTAAACGCAAGTTCCTAATTGTGCAGTATGACATCACACCTCAGGTCTCAGTCGCCACAAGTTGTTCTCATCATTACTGCTTGCAAGCCGATCGCTTGCTAGATCTACAACCTAGACTGTACTCCCTCCACTGTAGTACACAGTAGGACAAACTTCATCCTTGGCAGCGTAGATGGCACGAACCGGACTGCGGAGGTTTTGACGGGTCAAAGGTTCAGGCCACTGTTAAACCCCATTATAGCCCTTGACGCTACAGCACGTGAGACCTGCAAGGTCAAAAGAGGGGGTCTGGAAATGCCATCAGGAATAGAGATTGAGCTTAGGTTGGCCTGGGTAGTTGAGGGTGCTGAACGATCGCAGTGTAAACCCAGCGAAGCCGAGATCACGCCCGAACAGCGCGACTTAAAAAATCAACAAGGTTGATTCTTCCTTTGCGTACTTATTTTTCAAATGATATTTATGCAAGGTTTCCCCCTCCGACATGGGAAAGGTTGCTGCGTGGCTGACCGTCTATGCTCCACGTCAACCCAGAGGGAGTCGTTGGCTGGCACATGGCTTGACTGAGCAGAAAGTACGCGGGCCACGGCTTATGCCCGCTGTCTAGGAATTTCTTAACTGTGAGCAGCTAACAGAACTAGCTCTGACCATTGTTTCGAAAATAAAAGAAAAGGTTGCTTAGACCGTGTATATGCTCCAGAAATGCGAAGGAATCGAATTCTTGCTGAAGGAGAGCCTCGCCATGTGATAATTGCTGATCTACCTACAATCTTAACTAAATAATTAATTAGTTTTCTCTCATGGCCCCGGGCAATCCCACCACTTTATCCCGCCAAGCCATCCCACTCGATGACTACTATGTTCTGCTTAGATGAGACCACGGTAAATCAATAATGCGCACACATTATAGAACAATGGAAGCCTTGCAGGGCAATGGGCACACCCAGCCATCTGTGCAGCAATAAGTAAGAGAAGGTGGAGGGTTTAGTCTGTCACTGCCTCATGGCCCACTAACGTGCATTCACCACCATGCTTCATGGCTACTATTGATCAATGGCTTCCTACCAGCCTACCCGGAGCCTGCAGGATTTGGCCCCCCCGCCCATGTGTGACCACCACATGGGTGTCCTGCAGATTATCGGGGCTTACCTTCTCTCTGACGGGCCCCTTTATACCGCCCCAGCGTTGAGTTTGCTGAAAAGTTTGGGGGCGAAGGCCTAATCAACAATGCGTTCTGACATGGAGCGAAGTTACGGGTCTTATATACGCCCCTCTCCTCGTCAGACGAGCGCATGTCAATGAAAGGGCATCGCTATATCGGCCTCCCGATGTGTCACCTTTCCCTTTGCACGGGTGGGTATTATTATTGCCCGCAGCAGGCATAATGGGCTCAATTACAGAGGCAATAGGAAAGCGCACAGAGCTGTCTCATGATGGAAGGGATGTAGCCATCACATTGGCCGTGTGTCTTTTCCTGGCAACGCTTACCACGGGGCTCCGCTTTTGGTTGTCCAGAAGGCGGAGGCCGTTGTTTTCCATGCCAGAATCCATGACGCTCGCGTCCTTGGTAAGTGCTGTTGACACGCCTCTCAGTAATAATCTAAGAGGCCCCTTGATGGTTCTTCTAGCATCTGACGGACATGATGCAGTTCTTATTCTACTCCTACGCCGTGGCGACCTACTTGAGTATGTCTATGCTACTAGACCATCCTAGTATACGACTTGTTGGATCTTAACTGATGTCGCATTCGTCTACTAGTTCTGACAATCGGGCACGGTGGCTACCCAACGTCTCAGACACAGAGCTGGCGGCTTACTTTCACCCTCAAGGTGCGTATGCGCCCAATAGGTTGCCAGCACTTCAATGCTAATGGCTGCATACAGTGTGTCTACTATCTTCGGTTGGCTTACGGCACAGGACTGGGCTTGGTGAAATGCAGTATCTTGATGGCCCTGTTCAGATCCCTTGCTGCTTCATCCAAGGCCGCTCGATATGCGATCCTGGTCATCATGGCACTCTGCATATCCTGGAGCCTGATGGCCACCCTCTTAAGCCTCTTGAACTGTCGCCCATTGAGCTACAACTGGAACCTGCAACGTCCAGAAAGCCACTGCATCAATCGAAATGCTGCCTTTATGGCAGTGAGCATCATTGACGTTATGACAAACGCCGCTATTCTGGTTTTGCCGCTCCCTAGGGTTATAAGAACAAAGATTACCCGACCGGAGAAGCTAGTCATGGCCAGTCTTCTGGTTTTGGGATTATTGTAAGTGGTCTGGGGTCTATCCCTGGTAAACAAAGCAGATATTAACATGCTTCTAAACAGTGTTGTTGCCATTACCGCGGTCCGTACGGTCACCATCGCCAAAACGGACTTTTCTGCCATTTATGACAATGGCAAGATGATCATCATCTGGACAACGGTGGAGTGGACAGTGGCGCTCATGATAGCCAATTCTCCTGTCTTGTGGCCTTTGCTTGACTGGCTCGCTCCTTTCCATTCTATGGAGAATGGTCCGTACGAACGATCGGCATATAACCCTTCGTGTCACTTGCTAAAGCGTCTGCGACCAACAAATTTGCTGGAATGCACTCAAACATTGACATCAAAGACGGCCGTCGCGGAGACAGGCTCAGTACACTCATCTCGATCTATTATCCGAGGGTTCGGGGCCAACTGGACAGAGGCAATCGGGCAAGCACAACAACCAGATCCCTTTCTATCGTTGGAGCCGGGCGAAGTGCGAGTGCAGACTGAGTGGTCGGTTGAACGGTCGTCAGTGGGTAGATTGGATCGATTAAGGCCGGGAAGAAGATCGTAGCCGAAATGATAATTAAAAGTTGTAGCACCCTCACTTACTGAGACGAACTTTTTTAGTCTCACCTCCCATACGACATTCTGTACTGCCAAATGTGTTTCCGCTTGGGCTGAAACAAGAGTGACATTCCTTTCATCACACACGTTCCGTACCTCAACCAATCATTCACCAACAGGCTAAAATCTGACTTACATGCTACTTCCCGTGCTGAGATTGGGGGGGTCTTTTTTCCTTTCGCAGCCTTGCCATGCACTGCCTCGTGTTCTGCCTTCCTTGGGCACGTTTTGGCCCTACAATGTACAGGGTAAATACGGGGGGGTATTTGGTAGGGGTGCACTCGGCCGTGCTCATCTCCTCACCGATTATTCAACTGGATCGGAATGGAGCTGGGGGGCCTTAATTGACGTCACTAAAGGCCTTTTGAGACTCTACTAAGCTGGAGTCATTTCTGATTCTATTAACGCCTATCTCGCTCGGTGCTTTTAACAGATTGACTCAGGGCAGGCTGACGAGCGGGGTAATCATAATACAGCCCCGATCTCTCCAGACACTCTGCGATCGACTTCTATACTCGTCGGAACCCCAGGTATAGTATTCTTTTTATACCCCACCGTGCTAAGACCCCCTAAGGTAAATCACCCCTTGTGGATACCAATATGGCTGCAGGTGAGCAATTTGACTACATTATTGTCGGTGGTGGTACAGCCGGCTGTGTCCTAGCCTCACGGCTGAAGCAATACAACTCCTCTTTGTCGATCTTGCTTGTCGAAGCGGGGCCCGATGCCAGCAATCACCCCCTCGTACCAGACGGAAGTAAAGCCACTCAGTTACTTGGATCAGAGCTAGATTGGACATACGATACAGTGCCGCAGAAGCATCTTCATGACCGCGTACTCTCAAACCATGCAGGAAAAGCTCTAGGTGGTAGTACCACAATTAACAGCGGTGAGCCTTAGTATTCATTCATCGAGGGTCTGAACTTCAAGGAGGTGATGATGGACTTGGGGTGATATCGTACAGAGCTAATGGACCCTATACGGCGCGATTAGGCGGATGGATGCGAGGTGCAAAAGAAGATTATGACCTCTGGGCCAGCTTGGTCGGTGACTCTCGATGGAGCTACCATGGTCTCCTTCCTTACTTCCGGAAGCTTGAGCATCACTTCGATCCCTTTGCCGACCCTGAAGTTCACGGGTTTGAAGGTCCTATCAAAACCGAGTCCGTATCCTCTACAGGCCGCAGATACCCTCTTCGTCAATTGGTGCAAGAGGTCTGGAATTCCGTCGGTGTAACATATAACTCCAACATTAATTCCGGCAGTCCTTACGGGCTGGTTGAGGTTGTCGAGAATCGCGACCACGGAATGAGACAAATGTCGAGCTCCGTTTATCCTCTAGACGTGGAGGTCATGACTGAAACCCTGGTCAAGCGAGTGCTGGTGGAGGAACGCGATGACCAAAAGGTTGCAATAGGTGTAGTGTTGGAGGATACGGACGAAAGCCAGATTATTGCACGTCAAGAGGTGATCATATCTGCAGGTGCATATCGTACCCCTCAGCTCATGATGCTTTCGGGGATTGGCCCAGCGGAGGAATTGCGAGCCTACGGGATCGATATTGTTCTCGATCTTCCGGATGTAGGCCGTCACTTTGCGGACCATGTAGCAGTCTCTCAGTGGTGGCAGTTGAAGCACCCGGAGAAGGGGCTATCAATCGGATCACCCGCCTTCACCGACCCAGCTTTCTTCCGAGGAAATCCCATTGACTTTGTGGCCTTAGATTCAGTGCCCCTCGATGGCCTTCGTCAAGCGTTGGTCAAGGACGACCCCAATTCGAACCCGGATGAGCATCCACTCATTGCCTCCCAGCGTGTGCATGTGGAAACATTCACAGTGTATGCGGCAGGAAATGCTCAGAACCCTACAATTGCTACAGATGGCACACATATCACGACCGGCGTATCCTGTATGCTTCCTACCTCTCGGGGCAGTATCAAGCTGGCAGATCGAGACGTCCGAAGCGCGCCTCGTATCGATCCTAATTACTGTGCTACCGAGGCTGATCGATATGTCCTGCGTGAGGGGCTTCGGAAATTGCGAAAAGCCTTGCGCGACACTTCAGCGGGTCAGGAAATGATTGAATCAGAAACTGTCGAAGAAAACTATGATCCTTTAGGTCCTGAAACAGATGATGAAGCTCTTGATGATCTCATCCGCCGTCGAGCTGCGTAAGACCATCTTTGCTATGCTATACTACTTATTATTATGCGAGAGAGAATATTGCTGATGAGCATAGGACACTGTATCATCCTACGGGCGGTGCATGCATGGGCAAAGTGGTTGATGGTGATCTACGCGTCAAAGGGATCGATGGGTTGCGAGTTGTCGACGCGAGCGTAATCCCGACTCCATTAAGCACACACATACAGGCATGTGTGTACGCGTTGGCTGAACAGGCGGCGAATATTATTTCTGGTGTTTGTAGTGTTTAATGCTTACTATTGACACATAGCAGACGCATGGGAATGGTGGACCAGTTGTAACTTCATATAATTCATTAAGTATTATTCCATTATCATACAGTGTTGATTTCTTTATATATATAATTATTCGTAACTATTCAAAACTGTAGACAACTGCTATAAACTAGTGGACAGGACTACCCATAACAAATGCCGCGGGCATACTATACTAGTAGTACTACTGCGATCACAATATATATAGTACACTACTTACTTAGTAGTCTAGAAGTGGGCACCAGAAATGCAAGCCATTAATAGTACTGGTAATTTGAATCTATCTTCCCAAGGGAACAAGTAGATAATTTATATAGTACGACAATAACTTACCTCGGACTGGACCATCAACAGTGTTTGATATGTCGGCAGACTCGGCCTCTCCCGCTCAAGGAAAGTCATGGCGGAATTGACCCTATAGCAAACAGCATGCCCTTTAGCTCTGGATAGGAAGCCGCAGCGAAGAATGCCCTGATAAATGGAATTCCCCTGAAGCTATTTTCTGTTTGAACGACGAACGCACAACAGTAACTCTTTTAATAAGCCTTGTGTTCCCCAAGTAGTCGCACTTACTGGTTTCAAATAATGTTACATGAGATCCTCTATGCATGTCTGGTCCAATCACAAGATCACTCATCGGAGGCGACCTCACCCCCTCACCTTTCTAATACTTAATCCAACTCCATTGCAATTCTTTGACTATTCCCATCGCTGGTGAGTAATCCATTTACTAACTATTACACTTGCCTCTTGTTTTTCTTGCCCTTCAATCCGCCATGAGGGTTGCGACAGAGCTCCCCCTTCGCATCCTTACACACAACATCCGATATGCTACCTCTTCACCTTTCAAAGGTGAGCGCCCCTGGGCGGACAGAGTACAGCTTCTCTTGAACGAGCTGCAGTACAACACACGCCATGCGGAAGGCTTCATTTGTCTACAGGAAGTTTTACACAACCAGCTGGGTGACATTCTCACTGGACTCAATGCTTCCAAGCAGAACAAAGCGTGGGACTATATCGGCGTGGGACGAGATGACGGCTGCAAAGCAGGCGAATATTCGCCTATCCTCTACCAGCCTTCGATCTGGCAACTTCGACACTGCGAGACTGTCTGGTTATCTGAGACGCCCGGTACCCCGTCCAAGAGCTGGGATGCCGCATCGATCCGCATCGTGACCATCGGTGTCTTCACCCACCGCGCCAGTCGCAAGACGATCTTGGCGATGAATACCCACCTGGACGATCAAGGGTCTCGGTCCCGACTTGAAGCAGCCCATATTATCCTGCGCAAGTTGCAGGAGTATCGAACAGGAAAAGCCTTTGGCCCGATAATCTCGGGGATGTTCCTAACTGGCGACTTTAATAGCCAGGAGGACCAGGAGGCTTATACCGTCCTGACGGCGCCGGAGTCACCTCTGGCAGACGCAGCGAAGTTGGTAAACCCCCAGGAGCATTACGGAAACCAGAAAACCTGGACGGGATTTGGACATGAAGGGCAGGATCCGACGCGCATTGACTACGTACTGCTCGAGTCAACGGCAGACAAGGTTCTTAGCCATGGTCGTCAGCCATGGGCAGTGGAGGGCTATGCAGTATTGGCGAACCGATTCGACGATGGGGTCTTTAACTCGGACCATCGAGCGGTGGTCATCGATGTGATGTTATACGACTAGTCACTAGTGTCAAGGCCCCATCAGCTGGCTTTTTGTTCCCCAGAATCTCCGAATGCTTCCAATACTTCCTGTAGGGATAGAAAGATCGCGCATACATAGAGATGGACTTCAGGGAGGATCAGCCAGAAGTGGGAAGGAACGAATTGATACGCATCCGTACCGATCCGAAGACCCGGTCAATCCACCGTCAAGACGGCTCGGGGCCGCCAAGGACCGGCAATGACGCCCTAGCGTCCCTCATTTTACCCGAAAGGGAATGGCTTGGTGTCACCTGACGTCCCGATGCGGGATAGCGAGCGGACACGCGCTGCTTACCATACGAGACAGCGGACGGTATTACCGCAGGCATACAGTATCCAGCGTAAGGAAGGTTACGATCAGACCAGAAGGCAGAGCAGCAGGAGAATGGACCTGGAATGGCTTCATGAGAGTTCCTAAAGGCCCTGCGAACCGGTTGCTGATCGCAGGAGATTCTCCTGGTGCTGCTGGCACCAGCCCAGCTGCCCCCTTCCCTTAGCCATTCTGCCCTCACACACGGAACCCGAGCAGACCAGACTTGTAACGGACCGGGCAGCGCAGAAGAGCGCCTGTTACTACTCTCAGTCGACCTCTTCTCGCGCCCGTTTCCCCTTCTTTCTCCTCTTCCTTCTCCTTTCCCTCCCGCCGCAAAGAAAAAGCCCGCCAAAAAAGCCACTACTAGGAAGTCGGGGGGAAAACCACCCAAACCACCCCACGTTCTTGTGCAATCCAACGATTGGATCGCGTCTAGCATCTTATCTGGAGATCGAATCAGGGGAGCTCGGGACCAAAAATTAAAAAGAATCTGGAGCTGGAGCTGGAAGTGATCGAATACCGGCCAGATCCCCCCGGAGCAAACGTCAGCTGATTAGCCCGTTTCTCGTCCGTTTCCTCACTTGTGAAGGCAAAAGAAAGACCCAGACCGGCACGCAGACCCATCCACACCTGCCTGCCTGAGTCTTGCCCTGGTACCAGCCATCCCGAGTCGCTCTGCTCGGATTACGGATATTATTGTCCCTTTCCTTCTTGGTTAGTATCATTTTTTCGTTGTTTTATCGCGGTTTCTTTATTCTTGCTCGGTCGCGTCCCCAATTCGTCCTGCATTCCCTTCCTTCCCTGCTGCCGGTTGGTTGGTATGTCCTTTTTTGCTTCCTCCCTCCCCAGCTCGTCAGTCATCCATTGCCCTCTTCGCTGTTGATGCTCCGCGCGGCCGTGCGGCTCTTGTTATCGGAGCGATTTCGAAGTCAGGACTTGGTTGATGCGACTCACCTGGGAGTAGCTTTGCGACATGCTCGTCCGTTGCGCACCTCCGACGACGTATCGCGCCTCCGCCCGGTGCGCCGTCGCGTCGCCACTACCATTGACTTTTCTGCACATGGGACTCTCTCATACAGCTAGCTGACCTGGATGCCTCCGATCCTACAGTCCTTTTCTCAAGGATGCTGCCGTGATTGAGTGTCGTCCGTTTTCACTTGTCCATCCTCGCCGCTCAAATAGTGCCTCCTCACCTTTCCACCTATCCGTGCAAGTGACGTCTGTTTTGCCTCGCCCGACACGTCAAGGACGACCGCGGAACACACCAATTTTATCATCCCCAGCATGCCCTCGCCCGACCTCTCTCAGCCTGGACAGCTCCCAATTGACGCCCCGGCAGACCAAGGACAGATTGGCTCAGGGATGTCTAACATAAGCGGGGATTATGGCGCCGTCGCGTCCGAGACTTCCTCGGGACAAGGTTCGGGCGGATCTGATGCGATTGCCGAGGGAAAGCAGAATGCGAAGGCTGTTCTCGCCGCATCAGGGGTGTCTCTAGGCTCTACCGAATTCGCTCATGACGCGTCGAATGGCAATCCGTCGCCATCGTCTCAGGCGAACAGTGCCAATGGATCCGCGTCGAGCAAGAAACGATCCCGGGATGGCTCTGTTATAAACTCCTCCCAATCGACAGAAGGCCTTCCCGTACGTGTACGCGAGACACCTGCCGATAAGATTCTTCTTGAAGACTATGTCAACCGGGAATTCCACCATTCTGCGTTGACAGCATGGCAAAATCCCAGCCAGGAGCTTTTGCATCAGAAACGCGCTGAGCGCGATTATTTCTTGGCCGTACGGCGCGAGAACCACATGAACCCAGCAGCTCTATATGGTGTTGGCTACGAGGGCTTCGGCAATCAGCGTACCGACTTGCGGAATCAACATCCCCAGTTATTATATCCCGCGAATCGACGTCGTCCCGGGAACCGGCGGACGAGGGAACTCCGAATCTCCCGCAAGGATCTAAAGACGCAGAATGAACAGATCGAAGATTTAGTGCCAATCCGCTTGGATATCGACTGGGAAAAGATCAAAATCCGCGATACTTTCACGTGGAATCTTCATGATCGCGTGGTTTCACCTGACTTGTTCGCAGAGAAGCTCGTAGAGGATCTACAGATCCCTCCCGAGTCGTGTGCACCGCTGATACGGATGATCTCTTCAAGTATCCAAGAGCAGCTTTGCGATTATTATCCTCAAATCTTCATGGAAGAAGAGCCGCTGGATCCTCACCTCCCATACAGCGCCTACAAGAATGATGAGATGCGCATTTTAGTGAAATTGAACATCACGATTGGCCAACATACTCTGATTGACCAGTTTGAATGGGATATAAATGATCCTCACAACTCTCCCGAGGAGTTTGCTGAGCGTATGACCGACGACTTGTCTCTTTCCGGCGAATTTACGACTGCAATTGCTCACTCGATTCGCGAACAATCACAACTTTTCACCAAATCCCTCTATATCCTCTCCCACCCCTTCGATGGCCGTCCGATCGATGATCCTGACCTGAAGACCGCGTTCCTCCCTACCCCTCTGACCTCTTCCTTCCGACCTTTCCAGGCGGCAAAGGAGTTCACTCCCTACCTATACGAATTGAATGAAACGGAGCTCGAGCGGACTGAGGTGTCGATATCGCGAGATCAACGCCGACAGAAGCGGTCTGTTAACCGTCGTGGTGGTCCCGCACTGCCTGACCTCAAGGATCGTCAACGCACTATCCGAACCATGCTCGTCTCGACAGTCATACCCAACTGCGCAGCGTCCCTGGAGGATAGCAATGTCTACAAGCGGTCGGGCTCGAGCCGTTCCAGGCGCGCCGCCGTCGGCTTGCGGGATACCGGAGAGGAGTCAGAGGAGTCTGACAGCGACGAATCGTCAATCACCGGCTCACCTGCTATCGGGCCTCACCTAGCTCAAGGAACGGCGCGTACACGGGGCATGAGAGGAGCTGCCAGCGCGGCACATGCGGCACTTCGAGCGAGCCTGGGCCAGTCTGCCACGCCCGAGCCACATAACGAGGCAAGAGCTGCGAGTCGCAGGCGCGAGATTCGCGAGGAGAGCGTTGTTGAAGAGCCGGATAAGCTGCTTGTCAAGCTCAAGATCTCCAAGGAGAAGTTCCGGCAATTCCTCGCGCATGGCTTGCAGTCAATACAAGGCCTTGCGACCCCGGCAGCGCAACCAGCCTCGCAGCAGAGCACACCCCAAGTTCAGACTCCTACCCCGAACCCCATGGCTCCGCCCGCCGCTCCCCAACCTGAAGGCCGTGTACCCAGCGTTCCTCCTCCCGGACAACGACCAGTTCCCGCTCAACAGATCGGAGCCGTAGATGCTCCTCATCCCCCTCAGCCAGGAGTCCCCGGGGTGAGTAACTAACGACCTATTACTTCCATCTCGTCACCTCCATACGGGCCGCAATGTCTGGCTACCGAAGAAGTGCCGCAGACAGCCACATACTAACATGATTTTATTTAGCCCCCGCCTCCAAGTTGGCTTGCAGCGGGACTCGCACGCTTAAAACTCTCCTATCCCAACGACTCTTTCGAGGGGGTCATGCGCTACACCGCTGTTGACACGGAAACCATGCTGCCGGTAGCGAACTCCAACAGTCAACCCGGCCACAAGCTGAAGTATCAGTATCTCCCTCGCATTCGCTGCCACGACTGTCCGGGTAAGCTGTACACTCCAGGACCCGGCACAACAGTCGACAATTTCGAAGTACATCTCCGGAACCGCCAGCACAAAGAACGGGTGGAAGAACGAGTTGCGAAAACAGCAGCCGTAGCCGCAGCTGGGGCCAACGCAGCATAGTAATTAATGATTGAATGATGGAGCAGGGGGTTTCTACTTTTCACTCATTAACCCGCATTGATGTACACTTTACACTCTTCTTTTTTCTTCTCTCCTTCCTTTTCAATTCCTCATTGTTCTCGCCTTTGGCATCATCCTCTTGACTGTCTGATTCAAATCATTGATGTGTGTGTATGTACATGACTGAGCGATTGTTCTTGGTTTTCATCCATCCATTCTATCCCTTTTCCATCTTGGATGTCTTCTACCATCAGAAATGCCTTGGGACATGGATACTCACCCTTACCTCTTTCTCTGCTACTTCCTCTACACCTTGGCATTTCAACATATCTACCTACCTCATGGTCGGCGTAAATAGGGGACCTCTTTGTTGTTGTTGATCTTCTTGGCAGCGTTGAAGAGAATCATCGACTTGGCAATTCTAACACCCTTGAATACATATTCGGTGACTATACCTATCATAGTGAATTCTCCAGTATATTCAAATACCTTGTAGGTACTATAACCTAAGTTTCAAATACAACTACTACTACTTCAAAGCACAATGATTGGGAACTTACTGCCTGCCGGCCAGTACCTCAAGTACATTATCCCTACTAAATTCTAACGGAAAGTATTTACAGCACCATCACATTGCAAGATCGTTCGTCATTACCTCAGCCCCAACTCCTCCACAAAACGAAACAGGATAATCGAACTCCATAAATAACCCTTCCATGAGTAATACTTACTTAACCTACCTGTCCTACATTCTAGTACTCATCTACGTGGAGGATACCAAGTAATTCAAAAAGAAGAAAACCAAATCTACGGTTATCAACTTCATTGAATACCTCTTACATATGATGCTAGTACTTATTGATCAAATCATCCCGGGACTCCATTGAAGTATAGTAGTATCAGGTATTCAATTGATACAGACAAAGGAAAGGGAAAGACACTGACAGACAGATAGATGAATAGATAGATAGATAGATAGATAACACATACATACATACATACATACATTTCCTAACCGCTTGCGCGAGGGATGAAGAGAAGGAATGAAGATAATTGCCATTCGATAGAGGATGATAAGAGATGGGTATACACAGTTCGATTCGATCCAGAATCTGTTTAGAATTGCATCGGTGATATTGAGAAGGAATTGATTGCCAAAAGGTGTGGTAGGTTGTTGGGGGAAGATTCCGTAAGAAGAAAATATGAGGAGAGAGGATGACAACACTCCAACAAGGAATTGAATGACACAATATAAATCGTTTCAAACTGACGCTGCAAATATCACATGTTCACTTCGCGCTTGGTTTTTGATACATACATGCTAGCTAAACACTCAGGGAGAGGGTATCCAGATCCTCTTATCCTCTTCGAGAGGATCGTCGATTCGGTAGAGTCGAGGTTCGTTTGCCATTGCCACTCGGTTTTGAAGGCGCTTGCTCCGTGGGTTTCTGCGGGGATGTAGGCGGCGGGGATGATAGAGGCGAGTCTTCCCTATCGCTTAGGATCTCGTCCAGGGCGGCTTCTTTGTCTGGAAGGTCGACGCTGTCGTTGTCATCCTCGCTGTCGGCACCGCCCTCTGCTTCTTCCTCGGCTTGTTCTTCCTCCTCTGCCTGCTCCCACTCGTTCATTTCCATATCATCTTCATCGCTGTCCCTGTCCGCGTAACTAACTCTCCGGGACGCACCTCTGCTACTGCGTCTCCTGGCTGCTGTGCTAGCTTTCTTGGTAGCCTCCTCATCCGAGGACCAACCATCGTCGTCCCTCTTCTTCTTCTTGGGCGTCCTGGTGGTTCCCGCGGAGCCGGACGACTTGCGTGGCCGGGCGGGCTTCTTCTCCTTGTCTTTCCGCGCTTTCTTCGTAGCGCTGGCGTCGCCGCCTGCTTCGGCCGATTCGGGCTTTCTCTTCTTTGCTGAACCATGGGACCCGCTCTTAGTCCTCATGACGGATCGCACAATGCGATCCAGCAAGTCTTCGCCATCTTCCGGGAAGAAGTTCTTATCTGCAACCTCTTGGGCCTCGCGGTGGCTCCCCATCGGGGCGAAGATCGAGCTTGGCACTCCCATCTTGCCAGGGTAAGTCTGCAGGATGTTGGTACCGCCAGCTGCGCCTCCGAACTTGCGCTGTTGCGAGTAGATGTCCGCAAAGCGACGAATGGTCGCTTGGGCCAAGTCTGATAGCGTGTGGAGACGGGTGCTCATTTCGTCGGACTTCGTGATACCGTCGCGTGTTTGCTTGACACGCTGTGCGATGTGGAAGATCAGCGACAGGTTGTGTTCGTTGGCCACAGCCTGCAAATAGAAGAGAATGTAGCGGGAGAAGTCGACTAGTTCAGCTACCCGAGTGGACTCTTCCATTTCAGCGGGAGGATAGTCGGGGTGGTAGGCAAGAAGGGATAGTAGACGAGAGAAGAGTGACTCCATGACCGTCTGTTGATCGCTTCTCTTGCCATTGGTCTGTTGCGAGAAGAATGCAGCTCGCGAGCGCAGCCAGGTAAGTGTGCTATCCTTCAAGCTGGTGATAGGCTCGAAGGCAAGAAGGAAGGGGACTGTGTACCAACGGTAGCTCAAGTGCGTTTTCTGTACAAGTTTCTTCTTGAGCTGGTTGATAAATCCACTTCTCACCTCCAGAACTGGGTCCTGGGCAACCAAAGCGATCGAGTTGAAATCCCGCGGGCTGAGCAACTGGTCGCAAAGTCCATGGGACGCACAGAGCTTAAGCAGTGACCTGGCTGCCAAAAGACGTAGCCGTGACTTTTGCGTTGCGGGCGTGTCTTTCTTCTTAGACAACTCGCCGTCGTTCACGACGAGTTTGTTTAGAGTATCATAAACCGGTCCGGCATGGGCACGGAAGTCCTGCTCGTCATCCGAGCCATCCTTCGCACGTAGGCGATTGACAATTATTTTCAAGGCCCATTCCTTGGCGGCTGTTTCATCATCTACCACATCAGACCACGCATACCCGGCGTCTGGCTGGGGTGAGCGGTTAGTCAGGAGAATTTTGTTGACAGCAATCGAGATGATAGCATCGCTCTCGTCATCCGCCTCCCGTGGAGCCAAAAGGTTCAGCTGAGACAAGGCAGCCAATTTGGTGAGGAAGCGATCGGATCCGTAAGCCCAGTCGGAAACGCATTTCTGTATCAGGTCCTTGGCGTACATTTCCTTCTTATCGGCAACAGCCATGAGGATAGAAACGGCATGTTTAGCCGCTCTAGGTGACGGACTGTGTAGTGCGTAGCTCACCAAGGACTGCAAGAATTTCCGTTCCTTAGGAAGCTTCGATGGGAGCTTCTTTGCAAAACCAGAGCATGCCTTGAGGATC